CATCATTTTGTAGAGTTTTGAAAGAGCTTTCTTTCGATATACAATGTAGACCGCAACCTAAGTCCAAAAAACAAAATTTCCCGAGCTAAGAATTAAGCTAGAAAAAAGAACTGTTAAGCGACGATATACCTGTCCGCCTACTATGCGAAAAATGTACACTGGGAAGGTAGAGGAGGACGGAGCATCTCACTTTACAGAAAATTTGCTTAGCTAATAACCGCACATATTGACTTTTGAGGAAAGCCTCTTTTTTTATGAAACTACAATGTTCGTTTTCTAACAATGAGAAAGAGACATCCGTTCTATTGTAAGATTTTTCTATAAATATGAATAAGCTCTGAAACTATGGGTTTCCATCTCCTTGCGTTCAAAATTTATTCAGAAAATTAGCAGTTATCATTCTACAGTAAAATCGTTATTAGTTCTAAACTACTTTCTATACAAATGCAAGAAGTCTGATATAAAATCGACTTTTTTTGCTTTCGCTTAGATGATGAAAGAGAGAAGAAGTGTCCGAAATGTTTGAATATGTACAAGAAACCAAATGGTACATACTGTTCATATCACAACAGATTTTTGTACAATCGTGAAAGTCAGAAAATATTAACAGCCAGTGATGCACATGAAATTGTATTTAAAGCGGAAATGGAAGGACAACAATTACCAAAATTTAAATGGATTTGCTGAGGAAAGGAGTATGATAGAAATGGGGGTAACGGAAAAGTGTGTGTACGAGGTTTATGTGGTGTGCCCACAAAATTATTTGAACAAAATCCATCATTCATTGATAGTGACAATCAAGTGACGCTTGTACAAGAATTTTTTTTCAATAGTACGGATTATATACGAAAATACTTTTTTTAATAAGTAATTCAACACTCTAAACAACTTTCCCAATGGCGCTTTTTTACCAGATGAATTTCACGTTTTCGTGTCTGGGAAAACAAATTTTGCTTCTGTCAAGAAAATTCTGTTTTACTATTAAACGTCGCTTTCGACCATATTAATTAATATTATCGCTACTATTACACTATTAACCACTTTTTAACCGTTTAAAAGCGATATTTTTTAGCAAACATGCTTGGCTAGTTCGAATTTCATTATTAAAATCAATTTGAGGCCACCTTTTTTGTGCTAAAATTGAAGAAAGACGGACCAGAATCATACAGTTTCATCATTTTTATCTGAATTAGTTTATTTTACTGTTCCACTGATCATATTCAGAACAGAGAAAAACAAGTTATTTTTGTTGAATACCTGCAAACTACTGAATTCTATAAGTATTTTTCAATTTCTCCTGTATGAACTTTTTGATTCTTCCTAATAATTCTTTACGTTGACAGTTCAAAACGTCAACTGATGAGATACTGTTGACAGTTTAGAGCTTCAACAGCCAAACCGTCCCCGTTCAAATTTTTGCCAAATCAACATGAACGGCTACAGGCCTAATCGGGATCATCACCTAGACCAAAATATCAACAGCAACTCTTTCATCGATAACATACTGTCAATAACAATCACAATAATAGTATAATGCATTTTCAACAATTTAAAAGTTGACAGAAATGTTTTAACAGATACTGCTATCCATTTCAAAATAGAATGCAGTCGGTCGTTTTTTGAATAACTATTGATCGGCGATAGTTAGAGAGCTGCGGTTTTCAGTTTCTGAAAGTGGATTGATGGGGCTTTGAGTCTATGCAAAAAGAATGGAAAAAACAACATCTTCAGATGCATACCACGCCTGGACATTTTGCAGAAGGTTGTCCACCACTGAAAAAGTTTCGAATTTTCAATTCGAAGACCTTAGATAGATAGGTCAGGTTGCGATCTTCAATTCTGAACCAGTCCCAGGATTCCACCATTCAAGGTGGAAGACTCGAAACATAGATAATCGAGTGCGCTGATGATCATGGCAATGTTTGTTTTCTCCTAAAAGTTGAACAAAAGTCGCCAGAGTTGTTTTTCTGAAAATCCGAGTTTTTACCTGTGGACAGCAAGACTTCGATTGGACATATCTTACTCATTTCAAGTCAGAAATCGATCAAATTGTCGACATACAGTCAAAATAAGCTAGAAAATATGAATTAGGAATAAAACTTTATAAACTATAAGTTTATAACGTTGAGGTTTTTCAGGAGATCTTTAGAAACCTTCTGATATTCGATGCGCTTGATTCCAAAGTTTTAGAATGCTAGTGCCAACTGTGGGCATTGGTGAGCTCACGATAGAAATTTTTTACAATACATACGTTAATTCGGTAGAGATCTCGATCTAGAATAGGAAAACCATCGTATCGGAAGAGGTTTTTGTTCTTATTTCTAACTAAATGCCAGGCGAAAAACGCACGTTACCGTAACAAAAGTGGGGAGATTCAACCCTACTTTCACCTTCAGTTTCTTTTGATGTTAACTGGAAACTGAAATGGTTAGTTCCATATTACACGATTATCGTATAACAGCAAAGAATCATCATGATGCGTGTATATCATTAAAAAATACGTCAACGTCTTTAGAGTACGGAACGTATTCAAACGATATATTGTGTAATTCGCCCACGAACTTGTGTTTTTCTTTGTGTCTCCATTAACTGCTTTTAACTGTAAAGTGTGACGAAGGTTTACCTCTTGAACAAACAATACTATAAAAAAGATAACAAATTTTCAACCTCGTAAATAACCTGACTAAACAAGATTGTTGTGCAACTTCGTTTGAAAATAACTTCAAAAAACCCAGAATTACGTTTTGTCAAGGTAACTCTATCAGCTCTGTCCAACTATGGTGAAGAAAAAGTAAAAGATTTTCAAAAAAGACGTATGACGTATAAAGTAGTAGTTGGGATTTTTGAAAAAGATGGGTATTTTTCTTTAATGAGTAGTTTACCGATGGACATATATAAACATAAGAAAAAAGCAAAAATAAAATGTCGTCATATACTTTTACATTACTTTTATAGTTTAGACGTTTACTGCTAATAAAGTTGAAGCAACCAAACTGTCGAGCTTTTTAAACACAACTGTAAAAGGTAAGAAGATGTAGACATATTTTTAGTTCAGTTTTACACAAAGTACTACTGAGAAATACAATGACACCCAGAAAGTTTTCTGAAAATCTCCTGAATATCCCAGATATTACGCCTGTTTCAGATAGAGAATAACTGAGAATGTGGTAGGAATGCCGAACGTTTTCTAGAAAACTGCGAGATTTTTTGAACCCAGTAACATTAGATTCTGCATGGGCAGTAACCTACTACTGTATGTCTAGGGTATAATTTCTTCGTTGACTCGCTTCTATCGATTTTCACAGCCAAAATAAACTTGTTTAAGATAAATTTTTTATTTTCTGTTCATGTCACACCGTTCTATGAAATTTTGTATACATTTTTTTATAATTTGTATAATTAATTTATTATGCTTTTATCTTTTGACATCGGAATGTTCTTTGAGATTTTTTGTTCGTTGGGTCAAAACAAAATAGTCAAGCTAAGGGAATTTTTGTTGTTAAACAATTGATTTTTTTAGTGTAAAAGGTTGTAAGGCGCCCGCAACGCGAAATTCAAGTAAGGTATTTTGATTCTCTTTATTTATACATGGTTCGATAGACCTTGATCTGCTGATCAAGAAAAACTAGTTTTAGCTCTTGTGAATAGCTTTTTCAGGTCGAAAAAAATCAAAAACTACGAAGAAGTCGTTTTTTGCAAAAAGTCATTGTTTTCAGTTTTTGCGCAATTTTCTTCTCTTTTTGTTGAACTTCTGTGACTTATATTTTCAAATTCAGCGTCAAAAACTGAGTACAGAAACGTTATTAAATCGAATCTGATCCAAAAACTTTGCTGATGGTGGCGATCCAATTTGGTCGCATGCCTATAGGTCGTTTTTGTAAACCTATCTAGTTCTTTTGTGTAAGTGATGAGACCAAATATTTTATCTCATGTAATGCATTATACCACCAGTCATAAAAGCATGCAAAAAACTCGGTTTTCTAGAAAACCTAGTGACCTTAAAATTTCCTTCAGAAGTTTTTCAACCATAGCATTGGATAGCCCCTTCAATTCTCCACAAAATGAGATATTGGCCACGTTACTACGATGTAGTGTCAAAGTGCGATTCAGATCGAAAATTCGGCATTAAAGCGAATGAGTTTATATTTGTAATGTTAAACAGCCTATAACGCGGTCGTCCAGGATCGTAGAAACGTGGCCAATATTAAATACAATATAACGTGGAAAAATATGAAAAATCGTACAGATGATACTTTCATGTTAAAATTTGAGCAGATCCCTCCCGATTCGTCGACTTACTAATTTTTTTCCTGACTCGTCCAGAACGTTGGGGGTGTGGGGAGAGAAAATGGAAGATGCTAGTTTTAGAGTAGCGTGGCTCAGTCGACTAGTGGGCAGACAACGTACTTCAAAGATACGGAGTTCGTATCCCTGCAACGATGGTCCCGTGATAGTCTTGGACAAGCTATCTAATGCTCATTGCCTCAGTATCTTTGGACGCTGATGCAATTGGGGAAGTCGATTTCAGTGGCAATTGAACTGGAGAGATGAAAGTTAAAGTTTAAAAGAAAAAGATGTTAGTGTAGCACTAACACTATAAAATGTCGACGAATCGGGACTGAATCAGTTTGTTCTATCTGTTACTCAATGTTCTAATATTCATTTTTTATGTTGTCTAAAAACTGAAAATGAAATTAAAAGTCCGCTGTCCAATTCTCCTTGAAATTCTGTCTACACCACCTTAGTGTCATCCAGTATGCCGGCGCGGAGAACGGAACGTATTCAAACGATATATTGTGTAATTCGCCCACGAACTTGTGTTTTTCTTTCTGTCTCCATTAACTGCTTTTAACTGTAAAGTGTGACGAAGGTTTACCCCTTGAACAAACAATACTACAAAAAAGATAACAAATTTTCAACCTCGTAAATAACCTGACTAAACAAGATTGTTGTGCAACTTCGTGATTTGTTATGTTACTGTTGCTTCATTTCAGATTAACATGGATGAAATTGTAGTCCTAACAAAGGCAACTGATCCAGTTTATGGTATCTGCAATACTCATGCCGGTCAGGACAGTACACCCATTAAGGTGATGTCTAGACGACGGTTTAATCTTTCCCGTACAACACCAGGTGCAACACCATTTGATGAAGCACCAGAATTTTGCCTCAACAAAGATCTGAAAAAAAAATTTCTTACTTCAAACTGTGAAACAGCGGGTGTTTATGTAACACCACGTAAAGGTCGATCAATTCTTGTTGGCGTTCAATTTGTTACCGCCGATGATGCACCCGAACGCGATCCACTAACGTGTACGATTGAAGGGAGTGAGTGCTCAACCGGTAATCAATTGACGAGAGGACAGAGCTGGGTACCGATTTACCGTGGACCAACTGGTATTAATGCAAGAGAAACACCAGCTAGAAGTTCATATTGTGCTATTCAACGAATTAACAATAATGAACACGTCTATAGAAGTTACCGGGTTATCTTAGAAACAAAGCGGGTATCAGCAGCAAGTTGTTGGCAATTTTCAAGTGTATTATTATTCGGAAAACTCGGTAAGTCAAAACCTTTTTCCTAAGGAAAACTGATGTTTCAGACGGTTGTATGGCCGAATCTCGAAAACTCAAAACACAACAAAAAGAACGCAGAATGCATAAGGTCGAAAATAAGAATGTTGAAAATCTGAAATGTCGAAAATGGAGAATAGCAAACGGTAAAAATAACGAAAATGTCAGTTTTGGAAGCGGACTCGTATCTCCAAAATATTTCTTTGCTCATAAGGTGCGGGCAATTCAAAACTTCCACGCCATATTATTTCTAACTTTATTGCACATGGTTAGATACGTCTCGTCAGCTAAATTCGAGTATATGTTTTAGGCTCTGGAAACACTCCTGGAGCGAAAAATGTGCGAAAAACCTGGAAATATGACGGTGGTCCAAAAACCGGTTTTTGTACAGTAAAACTGATTGTACTATGACGTTTTCGAACTCCGCAACTCTTTTTTTCGAGTTCTACGTGAAAAACTGAATAGGGAAAGACTATTTTCCTATCCGACAACTTTAATTTTGTTCGAATTTTTTCGTTTGAAAAATTACCGAGATTTTCACCTAAAACTAAAAATTAACTGAAAATATTGAAGTACACATGATGCGACTCAGTTTTTGATTCTGATTCCGAATACGATATTCTTATTGCTCAAAAGTTGAGTTCTGATCGAGAAAACTGAGAATTACGGACATAATTCCAACTGTTTCGCCTCTGATTTATGAAAGAGGGCAAGAAGAACACCGAGAGAATATTAATAAAGTAAATAAAGGTCCTGCTCCTACACAATTAAAATCTCTGTTAGCAGACCATTATGCGTTTGGCGACAATTGTAATACTGACTTT